TCTTTCTTTCTTTCTTTCTTTCTTTCTTTCTTTCTTTCTTTCTTTCTTTCTTTCTTTCTTTCTTTCTTTCTTTCTTTTCTTTCTCAAGAGTAGGGAGTGACAGATGGTGGTCTCGCTTTCCCCAGAGAGCGAGATCTCCCTACACACGAGCGCATGTCAATCTCCGCAGCTCATGTGATAACTCCAGTGGATGACGTGCCAGCCATATGGTCTGGCATCAGAGTTGGTACCCCTCTGCCTGCTCGAAGCGTGCCACTTCCCTCCTCCTTTTGGATAAGACAGTGAAGGAGACGGGGTGGACCTCAAGGAGTCTTCCCCCCCTTTTCCTCCCCCCCGTTTTTTTTCCTCCTTACTCCCAAAAGATGCAGGGTCCGAGGACTTGAGGACTCCTCAACTCAGCTTTGGAGGTAAGTTATGTAAGGAGGGGGGGGACAGAAACTTAAACACTGGGTTGCAACTTGACTCATCTTTTCCCCACCCCTGGCTACTTTCTAAACCCCCCCCCCCCCCTCGAGTTCTTGCCTTTCTCTTTCCTCCCCCCTCCCCTTCGATTTTTGCACATCCCAGTCTATGTGTATTTTTGAAGAGGAATGAATGAAGTGCAGGGTGGGAATGAGGTGGGAGGAAGAGATAGGAAAGCTATCTCTGCGCATGATGTATATGTGTAGATCCAAAACCTCAGATGTAGCGAAGGCCGGTTTTGTATCAGGAGGAGGCTGATCTATCTACCCATACAAAACCACTTGGATTTAAAAAAAAAAAAAAAAAAAAAGCAAAGGCAAACAATCTGGTAATAAAATTATGTATTTTAAAACATGTGGGGGAGAAACGCACACACACACATACACAAACACTTGTACCTACCTACCTACCTACCGTGGCCTTCGGACTCAGATCTCCAGCAATTACGGGTGCGAAAGGCTCTTTATCTTTTCTAAACTCATCTCGTAAGCGATTTATTCTAGCCTCCGGGTTTATTTGCGCTGGGGCTTGGTTCGTGGAGCGCTCTCTCTCTCTCTCTCTCTCTCTCTCTCTCTCCCACTCCCCATTCCCCCCCCCCCATCCACCCCTTGCTTCTCCGCTTCAAAGGCAACATAAAAATGACTGCAAACACTCGGGCACAAAACTGGCACATGGACCCATCAGTTCTTTCGGCAGCTCAATCTTCTCCCGGGAAGATGGTCTCAGGTCTGGATGTGTGGGGGAGGGGGGGGATGAAGGAGGCGGGGGGGAGAAAGAGAGGGAGAGGAGCAAGCAAGGAGGGGGGGAGGAGGAGGAAGGCGGATCGGAAAAGGGAGAAACTGCCGAGATGGCACAGTCTCGAGGGTCGCCCTGAGAAGGAGGACGAGGATGGGGATGGTGCCATAGAGGAACATTCCCATCCTTTCTCCTCCTCCTAGGGAGCATGGAGAGAACCCTCGAACGGGAAAACCAGAAGGGGAAAAGCCAAAAACCAGGGCCCGACGGAGAAGTTATCAGGATTTTGGCAAGCAAGGGAGGGACGCTGCGTGAAGATTGCGGGGTCGGTGGGGTTTCAGCGCTGCGAAGTATCTACCTTCAGAAATGTAATGCTCGTTTTAATTCTTCTTGGAAAAAAGGACCTAGGGAAAGCCAAGGCAAACGATCCCGTTTTTCTAAGCGGAGGAGGGGGCAGGAATTGGAGAGAAAAGTTATAGGTTTATCTGGGCATTCCCCAGATCCCCGCCTCAAAGCTGTGCTAGCGAGAGCAGCAGCCTTATCTCTGACATGCCGGGATGCAGATAAGATAGGTTTAATGGTTTTTAATTCCATTGAATCTGGTAAACTAATCAAAAGAGGGGGGCGAGGCTGAATAAATACAGCTCTGGGTCCCCGTAAGAAATGGAGGAGAAGAAAAAAACAACCCGTTGTATTTCGACGCAACAAAAAGAAGGGAGGTAATTTGTAATGAAGGGGGATCAGAGATTTCAAGCTCAGCTTTGCACTAATTAAGCGGGAAAGCAATGTAAACACCAATTAATAATAAACACACTTTTTTAAAAATTAATCAATTGTTTTCAGGGAAAGAATGGGGGAAAGCCGATTTCAGGCAAGTTCTAAACAAATCTTCCTGTCCTCTCTCTCCCCCTCCCTCAAGTTCCCTCTGTGTGTGTGTGTGTGTGTGTGTGTGTGTGTGTGTGTCTGTGAAGTATGTGTATATAAAGTATTGTACATATGTGTAATGTTTTTGAAAAATGAAACGGGGGGGGGGGTAAGTAAGGCTGGCTAGCCATCATACAAATGCAACGCTGTTCGTGTCGGTCGGGAGGATAAACAGGTTTAGGAGGCAGTTCACTAAAGAGGTTTAGACGAGCTTTAGAACAGTTCTATTCTGTGATTTGAAGGGTGGGATTCTCTCTCTCTCACACACACACACACGTTAGGAGAGAGACCTGGATAACAAGGAAGACATTAGACACCAAGCTTTGGCAGAAAAGGCTGCGGTTTGTTAAGGAATCAATCTTTCTCTGTGTCTCTCTCAGTGTCTCTCTCTCCGTCTCTCTGTCTCTGTCTCTCTATCTCCCTCTCCCTCCCTCTCTCTCTCTGTCAGTGTGTGTGTGTGTGTGTGTGTAAGAGAGAGAGAGAGAGGGAGGGAGGGAGGGAGGGAGGGAATGAATGAATCAACTGCAGGGGAGGAAGGATAATGATAACCGATTTTCAGTTTAAAACCAGACCGTAATAATATCATAATTCCATTTCCGCTGAAAACAGGTTGAGTTTTGGACAAGAGGTGGATATCTGAAGACAGCCTTTTTTCTCTCTCACTCACTCTCTCTCTCTCTCCTTCCAAATCACCCTAAGGATCTGGTGACCAGGCTGGCAGCAAAGATCTTCTTTGGAAGAAGGGAGGACCCTTTATATCTTGGCCAGGAAGATTGAAATCTGTTTAGGAGTGGAACTGTCAGCTTTCCCAGCAATTGGCTGGAAAAGGCTGAGCGACTAAACTACCCGCGGGTTGGGATAATCTTCCAGGGGTCCAGGGTAATTGATTGGTGGGTGTTAAGTGGTGGATGTTAAGACCAACTTGTGTGACTATTTCTCGTTGCCATTCTTCCCTTCTTTCCGGCCCGCTCATTCCGTGCGCCTTTCTCCTCCCTCCTTCTTCCCCGCCCCCGTCACCCCTCCAGCCACCATGTTGACGCGCCTCTTCAGCGAACCCAGCTTGATCCCAGAAGTTCAGAAATTCTCCAGCTGGGCGGACGATTGTGAAGAGGATGATTCGAGCGACAAAGAGGAGCGGAAAAGTAAAAGCTGCCCTCTTCAGGAGGACCCCAACGACTCGGAGGTAAAAGAGGAGACCGATGTGGGCGCTGATGAAGAGGAGGAGGAGGAGGAGGAGGAAGGCATTGAGGAAGCGGAAGGCGATCGACCTAAGAAACGGGGCCCCAAAAAAAGGAAAATGACCAAGGCCAGGCTAGAGCGCTCCAAGCTGCGACGCCAAAAAGCCAACGCCCGGGAACGCAACCGGATGCACGACCTTAACGCCGCCTTGGACAATCTCCGCAAGGTCGTGCCTTGTTACTCCAAAACGCAGAAATTGTCCAAGATCGAAACCTTGCGGCTGGCCAAGAACTACATCTGGGCCCTGTCGGAAATCCTGCGCTCGGGCAAGAGGCCGGACTTGGTCTCCTACGTGCAGACTTTGTGCAAAGGTTTGTCCCAGCCGACCACTAACTTAGTAGCCGGCTGCCTCCAGCTCAACTCAAGGAATTTCCTTACTGAGCAAGGCCAGGAGGCCGGGAGATACCACGGGCCCAACTCCACCTTTGCCATGCATCCCTACACTTATCAGTGCTCGCGGATCTCCAGCGCTCAGTGCGCTTCCAGCACCATGGCAAGCTCCCACGCCTTGCGGACGCACGCTTACTGTGCCACCTACGAGTCCCTCTATGGGAACGCCTCGCCAGATTACAATAGCTCGGAATACGATGGGCCCCTGAGCCCTCCTCTGTGCGTGAACGGGAATTTTTCTCTCAAGCAGGATTCTTCCCCCGACCACGAGAAAAATTACCATTATTCTATGCACTACTCCGCCCTCCCCAGTTCTCGCCCTTCCGGGCACAATTTAGTGTTCGGAGCTTCGGGAATGCGCAGTGGCGTCCACTCTGAGAATGTTTTGCCTTACGACATGCACCTCCATCATGACCGAGGTCCGATGTACGAGGAGCTCAATGCTTTTTTCCATAACTAGCGCCTTTCCCCCTGTTCCCAGAGGCGCCTTGGGCGTCGCGTTCTCCTACCGGTTTCACGAGTAACCGTGACCACTTGTAGATTTCCAGTGTATTGGACTGGGAAAGGGAGGGGGTATTTGGGTGATATAAACTAAACAGAAAGAGAGAGAGTGGGAGAGGAGGGGGAAGAGAGATAAATAAATAGATCCTCGGCCTTCTTTGATATTCCCCTGTACTTCGTCCCGAGGGCTGCAATTTGTGTTTTGTTTTTTTTAAATTCAACTGTGAACCACTTTTCTCGTAACATATTAACAAAAAATGGGAAGGGCGGGTGGATAAAATAATAATCATTCCTATTCGTGAACCAATTGAGCCGAACGTTCTTGTTTTGAAGCTTGGATAGGGGGTGCGGCGGGGGGGAACGACCTGATCCAACAGCCTCCTGAGCTGAGGCAGCGGGTTTCAATCCTTCCCAATCTCGTTGAAATCAACGGGTCGCTTTGGTTTTCAATCGCTGGCTTCGATTTAAACGGAAAGTCGGTGGAATTTTTTCGCGCCTTGGTTTCCGCGGGACACCAATCCCGATTGGGAATCAGATTATAAACAGAATCTGCGACTTCCCTGCCCCCACTAAGTACTATGAAAAAAATCTGGTGCAATATATATATGCTAGCATAATTTTATATGTAAAAACAAACGAAAGGACTTTATAGCTAATAGACTGTTTAGTTGAGATTTTGCCCATCCGAAAACAAAGTTTTAGATTCAGATTATTAGGAGAAACAACCACATTTTTCAAAATTAAAGAGGAGAGTATCAAAGTGTCACCCCATCCTAATGGATTGTCTGTGCTAAATTATGCCTTATAACTAAAACATTTTCCTAAAGTTCAATATGGCTTTAGAACAAAACAATTTATAAAAGGCAGGTGATGGGAGGAAGGTTTCCATCCTCCCAGTAGCTGAATTCCCCGGAAAAGGTATCTGTGCCATCTGCAATCCTTTACATATTTATCTGGGAGTTAGTCTTATTAAGCTTAATGGGGCTTACTTCATGTAAATATGTATCAGCTTGCACAAATTAAGCTGTTAAAATATTTGCAAACTTTAAATCAAACTTTCAATGCAGTGAGAACTTGAAAAAGCAATAAACGGGCAAACAGATGAAAAATATATTCTATCTCTATCTATGCAAGTAGGTATTGAAACTAGAAAAAGAAATAAAAGGAAGGGAAAGAGGAAAGAAGAAAAAAAAGTAAAACAACAACAAATAGAATCCATATGAAATATTAGAAATATGGACCAACAAACTCGCTGAGATTTAAAATTGTGCACTTTTTGATTTGGGGGAAATGGACTGTGGAAAGTTTCCCTGGTATTTAACAATCACTGACTTTTTTGAACCACCCTTGTAACCCCACGTAACTTATTTTCCAAAATTTGTGTGTCATGCTGTTTTTTACCTGTTTTAAAAATGTTAAAGAAAAATGTGGGGGGCGGGGAAAGATTTTTATGAAATGGCAAAATGTTTTGTTATGCATGGATAGGTTGGGGAAACGCAAATATGCAACTTTTAAAGGTGATGTGAAGAGAATACTACTATGCTTAATATTTCTGTTGGCTTATCCCCCCCCCTTAATAGTAACTTACATTCTTTCTTTCTGTGATGGGTTTTGGGGAGGGAAGCATATGTTTATGTAATGATACACCAGTATATAAATCTCTCTATAAGAAACAAAAAAACAGTAACTTGTAAGGACTCAGAAGAGTATATTTTCCCCCAATACAGTACTCTTTCATTTTTTTTTTGTTCATCTGATGACTTTATTTGAGCAAAAGGAGGATGAAAAAAAAATTACCTCTAATTTTCCCCTCCTTTTAATATGACCTCCATCACCTTTAGACATACCAGCATTTTTAAAAAAAAAATTCAAAGAACTTACATTTCTGAACAAAGTTTTTAAAATAAAACAACAAAAAATCAACAACATTTTACAGAAAAAGAAAAGAAAACTAACAGAGAGAGAGAGAGAGAGGGAAAAAAAGTTGTAGACAATATGAAATGTCTATGGGACACCAGAAGTGCTTTTTTGTGTGTTTCTGTTCAGTTTCCTTAAGATGAATAAATATTTACGTCAAATGATATGCTAAACAAAAAATATCTCAAACTCTTGTTTTAAATAAGAAGGACTAGTTTATATCTGTCTGTCTGTCTATCATATATCTATCCATCATAATTCTGTCAAATTTGGTTTATGGGAGGGTATGTTGCATTTTAGAGAGGAAAAAACTACAGCTCCTTTTACACAAATAATACAGATCAAAAGGCAAAGAGGTTATTAATTCTCACCACCCCTAACATGGGACAAAGTTTAGCTGTGAACTTCAGGTTTTAAAAAAGACACATAGTTGGTTAAATAGAGGGGTGTGTGGCTGTGTGGCTGTGGGTGTGAGTTGTGTGGGTGTAAAATTCTAAAATACAGTAGTATTCTTTAAACATTAATTTGCTACTGTTTCCTGAAGTGATTCCCAACATTTTTGATGGTCTGGGAGCTGCAAGTCAGCTATGATCTTATTCAGTGAATTGAAGCAACTTCTTAAGAAGACAATTAATAAATAATAGATGTTGATTTGATTCCCTCAGCATTAGCTTACTTCAAAGAAGTAATGCTAAATGTATATATGGACAAAATATATAATTCTTTCATTATGACCAAGCATGTTTCCAAAGAGGAACTGAAACAAGCTCTCACTCCCAAGATGACTCAAGACATTAAAATAGCAAATAAAAGTGTGCTTTATGTGTTCAGAAGTAGACAAAGATGGCAAAAAATTCAAATATATTTAAGCAACCCTTCTGAAGACTTTTGAACAAATAGTTTGATAAGTCTTCATAAGACCTTCTTAAAATATATTCGAATTTCCTCACCATCTTTGTCTCTTTCTGAACACCTAAAGTATAATTTTTATGTACAGTGGAATGGTGGAGGAAGCCTACTTCTCATTTTATAAAGACTAATGCAGTTTCCTCCTCCTGGACAGATGGCATTTTCCCTGTATTCCTCTCCCTGTGCGCACACTCACACATTCACACACACATACACACACAAACACATGTGTCACTTCCCTCTCTATTTCTTTTTCTCACACACACACCCATATAGATAGCCATCCACACCCACATATCCTACTTTCTTTATGGTCATTTATGCAATGAGAAATTCAAGGCAAAATAAGGACAAATGTAAATGATCTTTCAAAGCAAGCAAATCATATTTGGCAACTAAACACTGATAAATAATAAATCTTCCATTGTTCCTCTCCCACTCCTAAGGTTTCTTTGTTATTTGTGGAGGAAGCTACTGTAATCCAACAAGGTCATCTGGGAGCTGTCCCAAGTGTGTATGGTGCTGAACCTGAAGTTCTGGAAAAACGTGCCCTTGATTTCTAAAACCGCTTTTCTCCCACTCAGGGATTCTTGGAGCTGGTTAGCATTCTTATCTGATATTCAAAAGCTCCACATAGAGATGGGAGAGATTTTGCCCAAGAAGCCAAAAGTTAGACTAGCAGGCACGAGTTATGTCCTAATAAAAATTCTAACAGAGACAACCTCCTATGTTTTACTTCTGGTGGGTATCATAGGATCCTGGCCATCTATCAGCGAGTATGAAAGAGTTATTTGACATGAGGAAAGACTGAAATCAGATCAGTCACACAAGGACAACCACTCTCTCCAAATATTCATCCTTCTTTAGGATGAATATTTAACCCAGCCCTAACCCATTCAAAGCCTAGTTTATCTCATAGGGTTCTGGTATGTACAAGCACCTGAATAAAGACTATCTTGCCTGCCCCGTGATCTCCACTGTTTCAGGACTATCTTCTTAAGGCAGTTGAAGATGCCATAGGAGGGAGGCTTTATTTTTTTAAAAAAATCGATAATGCTGTATATTTCCTTGGGTTCCACAGAACAGGACAGATATTTCTGTTTGCTGCTGGTAGGGGGTGTTTGTCCACCTGCCCTTGTTTTGGAAAATGGACAGTTGTAAGTAATTCTCTATTTTTGGCATGCGCACACACAAACACAAATATTTTCCTTCTTTTTCTTCCCTCCTTTTGAGGATAAAAGAATGAATATAATAAATAAATAAATAAATAAATAAATAAATAAATAAATAATAAATATGCACTAGAAACCTTAAGCTCTTTAGCCCCTTAGTAACTTCTGTTTGAGAAGTTTCATTAGCTATGTCTATTCTTATACCTCTCCTTTTTTCCACCTTTCAGAGCTAATTTTACCTAGTGGTTAAAACATTGGGCTAAAAAGCAGGAGACTTTACCATCTTAGCCATGAAAGTTAGCTGGGTACATGAGGCCACTTTCTCTCTGGGTGTTCCCCTCACCTCACAGGATTGTCCGTCGTGGAGAAAATAGGAGGAGGAAGGTGTGTTGAACATGTCCACTGTCTTGAGTTATTTATAAAAATAATAAAGGTGGGGTATAAATAAATACATACATAAATAAATATTCTTCCTTCTCCCAGCTTCCCCCTTCTTCATTTTCATCCTTTTTCTATCCTCCTCTTTCTATTTATCTCCATTTATATATAAATTTTCTTTTCTCTTTCTCTAATAAAAATCTATTTTAAAAGCAAACTGAGTAAAGGGGAGAAGGTCAGACTAAAGCTGTAATCTTCTAACCTTAATAGCTATAACCCGAGAGATTCTAGGAAGCCTTCATTCTCCCCCTCCACCCCCAATCCAGCTCAGGATTGCACAGTCTGTTAATTTGGAATCTCTCTGGAATACTCTGCCTCCTTGGGAAACCAGGGTGCTCATGCCAGAATCCCCCCACCAATTCTTTTCCAGGTGCACATACCATCACATTTGTTCAAGTTCTAGAAAACCCTCCATCTCCACTGCCTTTCCCTTGCACTGGCACATTTTTTCCAGTCCTTCCTGCCCCATTTTACACTGAAGCAAGAGGGAAGTGCCCTCACAGGCCAGCATCTCCTTCCCTTC